ATTCCAAATGCAGGAGCTCGCCTCCAACTTGCTCCTGACCAGCGTACTGTAAAGGAGTCTTATGACGTGCGTATTCTTGAAATCTCGTGAGTTTCTCAGAACGAAACCAAGTCTGTTAAACGATTCCATAGCAACCGTTGCAATATGATCGTGAAATGTCAGCTTCTGGTCAAATACGACGCCCAGGTCTCTCATAGTTGACGATCTAGATATAGAAGAGCCAGATAAGATAAGATAAGATATGCAAGATAAGCTAAGATATGCAGCCACATTGCGAACTACCTAGTTTAATGATCGGGCTGCGACACAGCTGTACAACAGATACGTGCGCGAAGCTCTCAACCTCAACTATACGTCGGCGACGAAATTACGCTGGGGACTTACAAGGTTTTAAAGTTCGCAATATCATGGACAAGCTCACATCGTGAATTAGTTTATCTAGCTTTGAAACATACCTTCTATAATCTCGAAAGTGCCGTTCGCACTACGTCTCTCTAAATAGTTAGCATAATTAAAATGTTTTGTGCGATTAATTGAAGTCGATTTAAAAATAGTAAATACAACGTCATGAAATGCAGCACAAATAATTTGGTCGATATCTAATAAGTGTTCCATTTTAAAGATCGTACGAGAAAGAGATTTTGAATAGGTTAACAAACCAATGCGGGACTGGTTTCATAAACGTGCGTCCCAAATTAAATAGACACAAGATCGCAAAAAAATTGCCTTAAGTGAAGTAGACAGTCACAGCGACGACCGATGTGTCATGAATACAAATGTACAATTAATTGAAATGAAGTGTTCAAATGATAGTTGCAGGTACATGGTATTACGGCTTCGGCAGCAGCAGTGGATACAAGCTAACAACTTACATTTGCCAAAGTTTTGATTACGGAAACATATTTTATTACAGAGCACGAGCTCGACGTGGCAATAATCTAGGTTAATCAATTCCTGGTGACACAAAGGGAATTAACACTTCAGTGACGCCTGAACGCTCGATTGTTAAACATTGTTGTTTGTAGGCTGGCACAAACCGGCCATTGTATGGATGATGTTACCGACACACATCGAGGTTACACTCGCATCCCGCCTGCAGGACTCATTCGCCACCGGCCACGATTTTCAAGGGCTATTGCAAAATTGCAATCGTTAAAACAATTTATTGTCTAGGTCGAGGCGGCGAGTACGAACTGAGGTCTAGAAATTCAGGCCAACGCGACACATCGAAGTAGCATAACATTAGGTATTCTGTATTCATTCTAAGAAAAGATAGAACAATTACTTATCAATGCTAGAATCGATTCATATGTACTATAATTTGATACGAATCTATAACACGGATAGATATCAAAAACTCGTTAATGCAATATTATTTATCTGTTGTAAATATACTTAAGTACGATTCGTTGATAAGATTTCTCGATACATTGCCGTCTCTAGATTTTAGAAATAATGTTAAGTAAATTAATGTAGTCGGTTCTAAGTAAAACCTATAGAAATACCCCATTTTAGTAAAAAATATTGAAATTGGTTTCTAATAGACTGTTGTAGGTGCTGGTAACCCGGCCATTTAAACGAATAACTACCTAGATAAAGCTACGTTGTTAATTGCTCGAGGAGTTTCGGATTCGGTGAGCGCCGCCACCGGTAACTAACTACACCGGAACTCGTGTAGTTTGAGAGCTCCACTGATACGACACAACGGGCCGCGTTTGAATAGCACATGCCAATGACGGCTATGGCGCTTCAACTAACCACAAAGCTCACGTATAGTAAGCTCCAAAGCTCTCTAAGCCAACCTGCTGTTAATGAAGAATATAGAATTAAGACATATGAAATTTCTGTTTATATATTTTTTTTGAATAAATTATTTATTAATATTATTATTATAATGAATTCCATGCAGTTTGCTTAATTAATTCCTAGTAGTTAGTAGTGCAAGATGGCAGACAGTTGTGTCTTGAGTACACAATGGATGTAGTAACCACAGTCACAGAGTTACTAATACTTTCCTTAAACAAATAGCCTCATTAGCTTGCTAATTCTAAGATAAGCTAAAGCCTGGTGAACCAGATCCCTCTGATGACATAGTGATAAAAATTGGTGTCACATTTACGTTTAAACTTGTGACCTTAATATGTATTCTTAATGGATTTTTTATGTTTAATAATAAGAATACTAGTTTACTCATAATATATACTCAAAATTTACACCTAATACTACCTACTGACTGTCTGTGGACGTGAAGCTTGGTGGTATCCATCTCACTTTTACCTGTTTTTAATGGCTTATTTTATTATTTTACGTGTATGAAACTACAAACGAATAGTTGCTTTAGAGTTTAAAATCCCTCAATAGTGAATGCTCGCGTGACACGAGAAACCAATTTACAATTTTATTATTATTTGCTTTAGGCTGCACTGTGTGTTATTAGTACTACATTTCATTATTGTATGGAAGGAAAGACAGTATAATACAATGTCTGAGTACTGAAACGATAATATAAATTGTTTGTGATTGATTTGTTTAGAGCTGAACTAATTGAACAATACCCTTGTTTATTGAATGGCAGACAATTTATATTACGTTACCGGTGATGTAAGTCAATTGCCGGTTAAGTGGCTGTACGCTACGCATCTGTTCCTATTCATGACACACTTGCATTCGTCTTGTAGCCGTGGCCGTGTAATGTAGATGTTTATTTTTACACCTTGAAGTTTCTCTATTAACTGATATTTTAATTTCACGCAAACATCTACTGGTTGCAAGTCATTTTCATCCGGTCAATCTGTAATTCATTGGGGGAAGTCTAATTATTCAGCCGACGTCTTGCCTGTTGTTGATAAAATGGTGATGCTGAATTAAATTACTATCGATATTGAGAAAGTAAAGAAAAGCCACAAATTTATTAAGTGGAGCTCGTGGTTTGGGGTATACCCCAACATATATGTTTCAATAGGATATGTTTCAAAAGTTTTGACATGTAGAGATAACATGCCTATGCCTATGCCTTTGGAAAATAGTTGGTGTCTGATTTTTCTTCAAAAAAAAAATGGAATTTTGAACCAAATATTGTCGAATTAGTCTCTCGCATAACTCTCGCATTTCGATAGTCATGAACCATGCGTGCAATTGTCTTGCTCATCAGAAGGACAAGGTAAAACTGCTCACGAACTTGGAATTTTTAATTTCCTAATAAGAATTAATTGTCCGATGACTTCAGATCATAAATATTTATTAAAATCAATTACTTCGCTATTAAAATCTGCAATGTTAAGAAGCACAGGGAAACATATTTGCTTAAAAACCATCGACTAAACCTATAGAACGAGATGAATTCATCTACACGTGGAATAAAATCTTAGGAAAGTGAAAACTGTACATCGAATATTCTTTTAAATAATGCTTTGGGCGTGATCTTAAGGCGATACCGAAACGAAAAATATGGTTTTTAGAATTTTTGTCTGTTTTACTACTTTAAGTGCTGCATGGATTTACTTCTTGCATAAATATTACTAACAGGTCGGGTGTTGACCCGACCGATGTTGATATAGGCTACATATTAATATATTATCATGCTATCAACTACGGGGGAGAAGCTGTGAATCAGTACCCCACGCGGACGAAGTCGCGGGCTCAGCTCGTAAAACGATACAATTTTCAAACTCACGAATCACGAAACAACATCATATCTTTTTCCCTTCAAGCGATAAGTAGGACTTATTAGGAAATGGCGATATCAATTGTGAGCTCACTCTCGAAACTGTCTTCAAGAACCTGCAATAAGTTCGAGGACCGAGGACCTGATGCAGGACTATTCTATTCTCGGCAAGATAGAGAGTAGAAACGAGTTGATGTCTCGTGGGTCATGGTTCTATCTAACAATGCGATATAATCCATATACATACTACGTTATATCTTCTAGTTCTGTTATCTTTAGTCTCATGACGAGTCATCAGTGTAAAACACTGACCGCAGTGTGGGTTACTATAATCAATGAATAATGAATAGGGCAACCGGCTGCCACGCAACATGTCGCGAGTTCGATTCCCGTACGGAATAACTCTTTGTGTGGTCTACAAATTGTTGTGTCGGGTCTGGGTGTGATGTTTATGTGAACTTGTAGGTTTGTAAACGCACGGCCACAAAACAGGAGACAATCCTAGTATAGGGCCAATTTTTTTATAAAAAAATAGATTGCCGACTGAAATAATGCCTGGTCCCATAGTGTCTCTAATTTCAACGTCACGTAGCTGCTATGGTAAGGGCTATGCGAGGTGTATATTTACGAAGCCGAATCGGAAATGAGACCTACAGAGTTACATCTTGTAAATGTGACGCGGGTGAGGACGTAATTAGAAAGCTATTACAGGATGCTTGGTCAGATGAAGTCCTAAGAAGTAAGAAATTGAAAACCTAATTAGCTCTACGCGACCTGGTAATTGCGACCAGCACCATCGCACCACTAGTAATCTCTTCATACGACCTAGTTCATAAGATATTATTTTATTTTAAAGTTAATAAATAGGTATTAAATTGTATCAATTTCAAAACAGTACATTTTATACGAACTACGGATTAACATCCAGTGAAGTTTTTGCAATAACAGGCAGCAAGAGGAATCAGGGGTAAAAAACCTCTCAGAACTGCAGGTGACCTAGCAGGTTACTGTGGATTTGGCTTGAAGCAGGAGTATGAATGGGGTGGTTTTTAGTCGGAGTTCTGACACTCTCGCCTCACCCAAGGCGGGACAAGTTATTGGACGATTTTCCCCTCAATAAAAAAAGGGGTAAAGAACCAGATTGATCACCACTGTTTTAGTATTTAAACCCTTAACATTGTATATTTTATTTGAAAGTAAGTGTGTAGAACTACATAAGATAGACATTGTTATAATTGAATTGATTAGTTTGATAACTGAATGTCTAAAATAAAACTAGCCCACTGTAGGACATCTACATTTATTTAACTCATCGAGTACCGTCATTATAGACACAATTATAGAACAATAGGTTGCGGTCCGGTGACCGCTTGGTGTTTGACAGTTTAATCATGAAAATATAAATAAACCATCTTTTGAGCTTCATTTTACTACTAGTATTGTTTCATTCTTGTATGCTTATGATTATTACCTCTATGAGCTATCTACCTGCATAACAGACACACAATCTAAATGTCAAGTGGTCTGTAAACTGTAACAGGCTATTGGCGAATTGTTACACTTCTATGTAAAACATTTTATATACATAGCCAAAAATATTGCTACCCAAAAAAAAAATTAGTTTTTGCAAATAAATAAGTCATTACACATTCTACAGCTAATTTACTACTTTTACTATAATTCAAAATATATAATCCTATATCATAGAAGATACTACATCTTTACAATAATGGCAAATATATCAATACAAAATAAAAAACTTGTTTGTAACTATATTAAACATGATATTAAAAAGCGACTGCACTGTGGCTATCGCATCAACTAGCAACATATGAGGACATTCACTGACCACTGTTTGTGGTGGTTTGTTAACCTTAACAAATGAAAATGATCCCTAGATCTATTCACACTCTCAAAGTAATGCTGGGCTCACCCCAACTGGTCACAAGTGAGTTAAACATATTTACACAATATACTACTCACTGTTACACTCAGTCATCTTTGGTACCACCTTCAATACTATACTAAATATGTAGAGCACTGAGTCGGCCTCCTTTTCCGGAACTGCTATACGGTGTCCACTTTAGGAGTAGGTACAAGCATGTAAGAAGGAGAAGGCTTGCGCTTGAATGTGACATAGGTATACAGCAAGCTAGCCAGCACACTGATGTTCAGCCCTACAAAGTTTAACAAGGAAAACACATAGTCTCCCCCTATTACCATCCCCAAATATGTAACTAGAATATTCTTCAGACACCCAATGATTGTGGTAGTAAGTGCACTGTTGTACTGAGTGCAAAGCATGACACTGTATGACAGAATGAAGCCCATCACACAAGACATCAGGAACTGTGCAAGGAATAGTGAGTCAGACCAGTTTGGGTACTCACTTGACTTGTGTAGGTCTCCGGTAGCCCACGCAATAATTGCTGCGGGTACTATCATGAACAAAGCATTGTAATACATCAGTCCATATTTACCAAGATCTTTGGCATCCAACTTCTTCTTCATATACACTCCATTGGAAGCAGTGAAAGCATCATTGAGCAGTACTAGTGTGTATCCAGACCATGAGAATGTGACATCGTCGGCGGCTGCAAGCAAAGCTCCTCCCACCATGGCATACACACTGGTTTGAACTGAGCAAGAGGCATGTACTCCCAATACGAATCGCTCAGCTAGCATTGTCATCAGTATACTGAAGCGACGAAGGGCCGTGAACATCGGCAGGCTCAGCTCCTTGGTGCCGCCCAGCCCGGTTGCCATGTTTCCCAAGTAGATGACTGGCAGAGGCCAGATTCGTTTAAAGGTACCACCATTAAGAGGCGGGAATTGCACTACATTGAGAAATCGACCGAAAAATAACACCGTGATCGTCGCCACCATCTGTCCCAGGCCCAGAACTTGATATGAGGGGAATCCATAGGTCGTCAACACTGTCTTGTTTACCACTGTGATCATAAATGATGCTAATGCATAGAAAGTTGCACTCAGGATCTTCTTGAGCATCTGAGCTCGATCCGCCGCTTCCGCTTGCTCCTGCAGGCTAACAGCAGACATCGTGCCACCACGTAACTAATTAAACTAAAGACGATTTAAACTAACATGATCGATTAGCGAACGTTTATAAAACCTTGGGGCCGGTCACGATGTTGTGTATACTATAATTTCAATCGTTTACACACGTCACACTTTCATGGTCAATTCAATGACTATTTTACCAAAATTTATTAAGAAATATTAACTCGATTACACCACATGCAGGCTTTACCAGAGCGCCAAGCCGTGCTAAGCAAGCAGCGAGCCAGCGACCTGTCAACGACTCGAAGTCAAAACTTCAAAAGTGAATACTCGATTTGACATTTAGCTGTCAAGTGCTGGTGCTGATGACATGAAATTGATGCATTGATCATGGAGGTTTATACCGTTTAAATACCCCGGTTTTGTCCACGGGTTTGTTCGTGGTTTGGGATAATTAAACCTTTAAGTATAAATAAAAATGGATTACCAAAATATGTATAAAAAATTTCTAACTAGACTAATTTGAATAACTAACTTTTTATTATGCTTTATTGTTAAGGCAAGGTTTTTAAGATCGAACAGCGGCTATGACATTTATGATATTTTATTTATGTAATAGTTGTTATTTAAGTTTTTTAAAAATAATTTATTAAGGCTATGACAGATATAATTCATAATACTGTTTTATATTTTACTAGCTTTTACCCGCGGCTTCGCTCGCGCCACAAAACGATAAAAAGTAGCCTATGTGACATATACCAGTACACACAGCGCCATCTATACGTTTTCCCTCTAGAATATCAAATTTTTCCGGGATAAAAAGTAGCCTATTATTTAATCCAGACTTCTAACTTTACGTGTGCAAAAATTCAAAGCAATCGGTTTAGTAGTTACGGCGTGAAAGCGGAACAAACAAACAAATAAACTTACTTTCTGATTTATAATATTAGTAAGGATATACCAGAAGTGAAAATACCTTCTAAATTAATTATTTTAAGTCTGAAATTTGGATTATTTACGACAAATTACATTATTATGTATTTTGTAGTTAATGTCAACCCATATAACCTACATAATTATGTAGGTACTTAATTAAGATAATTACAGTGCCACCTCAGCTTTTGATACTATTATCTTTGATACTATTATATTTGATAGGTCCTATCTGAATATTTATGATGCTATCTGCAATTTAAAATGTGTTATATTATATTTTGTTTCAGTCAAATCTGAGGTGTATAGTCAGTCAGGGATCATAATTAAAAATAATTAGAAAATTCGAGACACCTGAGGATAAGCGACCTGGTCGTTCTGAAAAACAATTGGATATGAATATTCCAATAGCATATAAACATCCAATTTTAGTAACAACAATAGCAGTGCAGTTCGTCAGAAATTACAGATCTTTTACAATGTGAAAAAAAGGAAATACCAACTCTAAGAAAACTTTAAGTGGTTGTTTTTTTATTTTGTGTGGTGTCTAAAAGTATCACCTGATTTTATCGACGTAGACCTCGGTTTAGTGCTACAAGTTAATTCGGCAAGTTAATGAAGATTTAATAATTGCCTGGATCATAGATTCACTATAAACATACTATCGGTAATTAATGTTTACTTCTAGCCTATAAGATATTGCTCTATGTATTAAATATTATTTTAGTCGCGCTGTAGAGATTTTTATGAACGACTGTGGCGCCCTCATTTATTTTCATTGTTGAACAGAGATAAGCTATAGAATATATGTTTTCAAAATGTGAGACAAGCCAGTGAACCAAATGAACCAACTTCAGTGCCAACTTCTATTCTCTAATATTAATGGTCTACACGTCAACCGTCGACAGATAAGAAATATCGTTACACGTTTCTGTGCACAGATTATAAAAAAGTACTTGTCTATGATCAAATGCATTAATTATTTTTCTAATTTACTTATTTACCAATATTTGTAAAATATTATAAGTTCAATTTATTGTCGTCCTAATTAAAAGATAAAATATATTTAAAATATTACTCGTAAAACCGCAATTTTCAGGTATTTTTTTCACACTCTCTGACATAATGTTGTTTGTCGGACAATGAACGAACGGTGCATTGTGAAGAATCCGTGTATCAGACAGACCAAACCAACCAAGCGACATTTTGATTATTATTCCATTGTATTGCCATGTCAGTCAATATTGTTTGTGTAATATAAATAATCACGGGTAACGTCGCAGTGATGCGTTGTTAATAATGTTTAAGGAATAAGACGTTCATAACTGATTCGTATACGTAGGCAATAATTCGCGTTTGAGTTTTCAGTTATGTATCACTGTTGGGACGCGTAGCTAGTCTGAAAGTGGTACAGGTAGTGTTAGGAGGGCATCTTTTGTTTTTTTATCGTGATTACTGGGATTTGTCGGCGGGATGGCTGTTCCCGAACAGTTCTCGCTTCGCTGGAATGATTTCCATTCGAATTTGTCACAATCGTTTCATGCCTTGCTGGAAGGCGAAGACTTGGTAGACGTGACCCTGGCCGCTGGTGGCCAGTACGTGCACGCTCACAAACTGATCCTGTCAGTATGCAGCCCTTACTTCAAGGAACTTTTTAAGGTATGTATTATGTATTTTGTTGATTTTACTTAGACCTACACTTCTTTCGTTTTCATAGATGATAATCTGGTATACTTCTTGGCGTATGATGTCTTGAATACTCTCTTTGGATACAATACAAGTGTCTTTGCTTTCAGTTCCCCTTACCCTTTGCAAACTGCTAGGTATTTAGATACCTGAACAGTGTATCTGTCAGACAAGAGTGCAGTATAAATAGATAGCTATACTGTTGTGCATATGTAATGTGTCATATGTAGGTGCATAGTTATGAGGATGTACATGTGTCCAGCATGGCTGCTAATTGTATTGATTTTTATCTGTAGGTGTGTAGATGTTGTGTATCACACTCCCCCACACCCCCTGCAAAGGGTGCAAGCCAGACAGGAGGGTTGATTTTAGGTATTTAGCATTCCCTGCCCGCATCCCTACCTCACCTCTGATCTGTATGGGGAGGGTCTCTCTTATTATTATTTGTGAATTGGTAGTGGCTGCTGGCAGTTGAATATTTCCCTTGATTGTGAACAGTTCACTCCACTTAGAATCTTACTAAGTTTCCTGAATTTGTTGGTAAGTATTTTTGTAATATGTTATTGTTTCCCATAATTATTTATGATTTGTGTACAAGTAATCTGTAATAGTGAAAATACAATGTTTTTCAAGGGAGGAGTTGGAGCTTTTCAAGCTGTACTTATTTAAGAGCTACTTGTAGTTAGGTAAATTCATGAAGTGAAAGTTTTTAGATGAAAGTCAGATATAACATTGTATAATTAGAGCTGTGCTAAACAATCAATACACAGGAGTCTGGTAGGGACACTACTAGCCATGTTTGATGCCAGGTTCCTGAAGTCAGTTACTTTGCATCACCGATTAGATTCTAAAATTTTAATTAAGATCTTAACACCATAGTAACTATTGTAATACCAATGAAATAGTTAATTGCTACGCAATGCTATTTTGGCTCAATGTGTACATAATTATGTTATGTTAAGAAATTCAATGAATCACTAGTATTGTTACAATGACCTTTGTTCCATATCTCTGTCATATTGAAACTATAACAAATAAAAACTGTCCATAAAGACACCCGTTATCATAATAGTATGAATGTGAATAATACAAATGTTTATTGAATAGTCTTACTACAGATATGGAATAGGGTTAGGCATTCCAAACTGTTAATTTGGATTCATAATCTTAATTTAGAATACTGAAGTTAATGCTTGGATTTCAAAGTCTGCCACTCAACTAAGGGCTCAACTGGAGAGTTGATTAATAGTATTTCACAGGATGCATCAACTTCTATTAGTGTAATTGTAAAATAAATGTTTTTTACACATCAATCAACAATTTCTATTAGTTTTACATAACACCATGCCTATTATCCCTCGAAGGTGTAGGCAGAGGTGCACATTATGGCACTTTATGCCATTGTACAATGCAAGATCCACCTTTCACTATTTATGTTATGAGTCCCATGTAAAGGGGGTACCTTATTGCCATATACTGGGCACATTGACCATAGACTCCATGCTGGTACTGAGAATTTCTTAAAAAAATCCAGTACTATTTGGCCCGACCCGGAGATCGAACCCGAGACCCCTTGCCCGGTAATCACACTTGCAACCACTCGGCCAATGAGGCTTTATATGCTTAATATGTTTATCATAGGTTTTATATGCATAAAAAAGTATTTGTGTAAATACAGTATCATGGTTGCAAAGACTATAGAAAGAGCCTAGTAATATATAGAGTATAGAATACACATGCAAAGTATTCCTAGTAACTATTTATTTAAGATTTTTTGGGAATACATGTTATATGGTTAGAAAGTAAGGAATTACTTAGTGAAAGTATCATTACAGTGTTATCTTTACTAAACACTAGCTTTTACCCGCGGCTTTGCATATTCCTGTTTAATCCAATAGGAGCATTTAATTGGGATAAAAGTATTTTATCAGTCAGCCCACAGGGGTACACAGGCAGGGTATCTGCCTGTGTACCCGATGATGTGATTTCATCAAAATCTGTCCAGTAATTTCAGTGTGATTGACAGACAAACAAAGAAACTTTCACATTTATAATATTACTATGATGTCACATTGTTCTTGTAGTCACAATTATCATTAGTACACTAAGGTACTGAGAAATGTATGCTTGTTAAATTGGCAGGCATTTGTCCTAAGTAGCTGCAAGTAGCAACTGCATTACAAAATTGCAAGGAGGGCCTTGCAACTATTATAAATATGGCTTAGTCATGATATCATTAATGCATACTATACACAAACACAACCAAGACTGTAAAGAATGATTGGAAATTTTCTTAATAGCCTAGTTTATAGGTCCATGAAATGCTAAATTGTTTTATAAAACATTTGTTACTTTTATTTTGACAGATGAACCCATGTGAACACCCCATAGTAATATTGAAAGACGTGGCACACCAAGAACTGCGCCAGTTGCTTCAATTTATGTACCGTGGCGAGGTCCACGTGCGTCGCCAAGAGTTGTCTGGTTTTCTGCATACTGCTGAGCTTCTACAAGTGAAGGGACTGACCGGGGGCCGGGAGGTAAGTGACATGCTACGGAAATCTGTATTTTTTTTATGTTGTTGTAGAGTAGGGAAGCAGATGTAGTACCTGACGGTAAGCAAAGGCAACCGCTCACGGACGCGTGTAACATCATCACATGAGTTGTGTTGCCAGCCTGTTGGAGAGGAGAGGGGAGGGGTAGGAGCCTTGTTTCACGCCGTGCCATGCGTGCAACGCCGGTTTTCTATGAATCTATTGTAACAATCCGATAAACCTCATTCAGATATTTTAATTGCATAGGTTTTGGGAAGTTATCTAAGGTTTATGGTTTCTGTCTACAAGTGGTGTAAACTGAATTTTAGTGAAAACTAGACTGTATAATAGCGGGTGAGCGTTTAGCAATATCTTCTGTGCTTCTACTTAAAATTCCGAGTGATCCAATTGCTCAATTATACAAGGAAAGAATCAAAAAGAAATACTTGTCATCTGTAAATATTTGCTTTACAGTCTTTGTTGTTACGACAATAAGCCGTGTCTAGAATATTTGTGAACATAAATGAACAAATAACAACAGTACAAAGATCAAGTTTCAGTGAAAATTAATTAGTGTTTCGTCGATGAGGACCATGCACTGTATGTTTTTGCATCTCATTAGTACAGGAAATCAGGGGTAAAAACCAGTGAAGCGTTTCATAAGGGGTGCAATTTGTTTTGTAATAAAACATCTCTATGTAACTTAATCCGGCTTTTCGGGGTGGCGTCTACCCACCCTACCTGTGAGAGGAGGCACCCTACCTGTCAGTGGTGTGGGTGCCGGTAGCTCAGCGGCCATATTGAAAACGAGGGTGTCATTATTCATATTTACAGTTATGTTGTGAACTACGTCTGCGAAGAGCACAATGAACATTTATGAAGCATCGTGTTTTACACAGCGTTTGATATGTTACTGGTACTCGTAACATGTTGAAAACTATTGCGAAATATTAAAAGATCATCTAATTGCGATAGCTTTTCCTGGAGGAAAACGATCAACTTTGTGATAATTTCAACACAAGTAAACCGTGATTATTTTAGGGTTCCTCACCTGAAGAGTAAAAACGGTACCCTAATACTAAGGTTGACTTAACAACCAGTGACAGTCTACTGCCAACTATGGGCCTCCTCTTATATGAGGGCTTGTCATAGACTCTACGCTTAGCAGGTCGGTTAGAGATCGCAAATTCTGTACGCAAAGTACTTCAAAGTCAATGCATTTATTTCAATTAAAGCTCTATGCGTCTGTGTGCCAGAGAAGCTAAGAACTAAGCTAAGAACCTTAAATTCGAAAACAATTTCGAAATTGAAGGTAATATCCCCAAGTAATATTTATGTAATTTTAGCTCTTAAAATTGTAAGATGACAATTATTTTAACAAAAAACACAAAATTGATGACTTTATTTTCATCTCGAAATGACGTCAAATAGTAATCTGATTTGACTATTGTCAGAACCTTGTTTACAAAAAAAATAAATATCTTAGTAAACTGCCAACTAGAGACTGATTTGTCATGTCAGCCCAACAGCCTAGTGTAAAATCTGACGGTACATCATTTTTAAATAGGGACCTAATAATTAAGAACCGTCTTATTCTGCCTACTTTACGACTAAAACTAAAAAAATCATAAAACAGTGGAAATTTAAATATTGAAATTAGTTTTTTAAAATAACTTGATCAACAAAACAAAATAAAAAATGTATAATAAAATAGATAGAGCTTCTGCAATCTGTCAATGTGTTATCAATTAGTTCGCTCTTTCTACCACACCCGCGGGAAGAATAGAGTATTCTGGTCTGTCATCAATATATGCCTTAAGGTGCTAGTTTAACAGGCGGATAATAATTTGGCATAATATTATCATCCATAAAACAACGTCAGTTAAGCCAACAGAAATTAATCTAATATAATATAATTATTTCCACAGAGAAGCGAGTCTCCGACTGGTATGGCCGAGGAGCCCCCAAAGCCTACGCCACAACAACAGGAGATAGCCGAACAGCCTGCTGATTGGAACCCCGCGGTGGAAGACACCACCTCCTCGGAGCCTCCGCCAGAACCCACCGACACAGTCACCATCAAGGAGGAGGCTGCCCGGAGCCCACTGAAGAGGTAATAGAAACATGGAGCATCCTTCTTAGGTATTGTTCTTGTCCTTACGATCTGCAATGTTTTAAGTAATCTGGCTGCTGTTGTATTACGTTTCAGATTACTGAAGAACACCCCGACCAAGAACAGCCACAGCGCCAAGAAGAAGCCGCGCACAATCAAGGACTCGCCAACTCACCCCGAAAACACCGACTACCCTTACGACGGGTATGTACCTGCACACCAATTGTCAAATCATAAACACCTACTGACATTCAAATTATTATATTTTGATTAGGGGTTTCATTAACACTAAGCTTGTTCCACAATTACATTAGCTTGCTGTTGTAAGATTGGCGAATGCCAGGCTTTGCACACTGATGCACTCCATTCCAGTGCTTCAACCAGTCCCCATCATACAATCACATTGCGTTAAAATTAACATGCCATCAACGTAAAGTGGGCACTGGGTACTGATTATTAAGTGCCTTTTAAAATATAGGTGTAATTGTTGGTAGCTTTATTCTAAAATCATTAAATATTGGCTTTCTAATTTATCGTGTCAAACACTCATATTACGATTGAGTTTGGTGTTAGAGAGCAACACAGCATAATGTCAAGCGTCAGTGCCGGATGTCTTTGTTTAAGCGGAAATCGTAATAAATTAAGCAGCATTACTTTGAGGGAGTTAATACACCAAGGCTTCAAAAATGTAACGGGTAGTCTAAAGTATTGTAAAGCGCAGCGCCGGTCACTTGTAATGTAGCTTGCAATAAGGCATCATTAGCGCTTTAGAACTTACGTTACGTTGCGCGTTGCTTGCAGCGAACCGCTGATTGACTTCGACAACGACCTGTTTCACAGCGTGCTTGTGCTGCCCGAGTCTGCCAAGGAGTCTGGTAAGTCTTACATGCTTATATGCTCTGTTAGTCAAAATTATGCTTTCTTTAATTGACCTTCTCAGTTGTGGGAGATGCTCGCAAACTTTGTAAAAGCTTAGCCGTTGGATGATATTGTGATGTAGAACAAAATTTGTAAATATAATAGAAACACGTAATAAGAGAATATAAATCGCAAGTACATGAAGATTTGTGTATTTTTTAGATGTTTAAAATAAATTCCCAACAATAATGGTACTGTGCGCGATATGCTCACAATAAGCAATAACTACACTACAAGTATTCATAATATTTGACTTTACCACTTGTTGCCATGTAGATGCCTTACTATGACCAAGCCTACTATTGTGAATATTACTTTAGTAACAATTGATAATACTTTAAAACACATGGAGTTTGCACAATAACATAGTTCCTTTGGTTTTTATAGTCACAGTTGACAATGATATGAAAAGATCATGCATTTTATAACACAAACAGTTTGCTGACTATTGAATTTGTTATGTCAATAGTCATTTGGAAATTCATTTAGTTCTCTGAGTAAATCGGAGTCAGTCCCAGAGGAATTTAAGAACATAAATATTGACTTTCGATGTCTTAGGAATTGTTTAAAATGTTAGTTGTTTAATTAGAAATGTTGATGATTAAAGCGAACTAGTATTATAACACTCGTTGTTTAATAAGTACAATGGTCTGATGGTACCTTCCTACTGGCTCGCCCACAGCAGGTTGGAACTGCAAGACGGGGGGCGTAAAGTGTCCGTCGTGCCACCGGTACTTCGCGAACCGGTACAACCTAAAGGTGCACATTCGGGACAAGCACGACACTCGCGAGGGCACGCTGCAGTGCGACATCTGCCAGAAGCGCATGCGCAACCCATCGTGTCTGCGCGTGCATATGTACCATCATCGCAAGCAGGCCGCCTACCTCGCGCAGCTGAGCACGCAGGGAGAACCCATGAAGCAAGTGTCACCTCTCTCTCTCACACACACACACACTGACACACACACACACGTGGATACCATGACGTCATCCTTTAAGTTCCATCCATTACATTAAGGAAAATATCAATCACATACCTTCATCATTATTTGCGGTTAAATACACAAATACTGTATTTACTTGCACCATTGACAATTATTGTATTTCATTCGAACGATTCTTCGATTGTTGACATTACTAACTCTACATAATTCTATAATCCGAATACCAATTCGATGAATATTGTAGGCAGGTGTTATTTCTTTAGTTTTAAGATACTGCTGCTTTCTCATACATATTTATTTAGTTATACATGACGAATTTACAGCGTTAATATAAACAACGTGCTACCAGTGAGCTAATTACATTTCCCCATTACATTCATACACTCGTACATATTTTTAATGTAAACACATAGTGTCCTAGCCATCACCTGTGGCACATTACCAAATATTACGCAAATGTACTTGGGATAGTGTTTTATTGTTCATTTAAACCATTCCAGGGTGCAGAACATGGTCGGTGGAGGCAAGTGGCGCTCCGACTCATCCATGAGCAGCGGAGACTTCAAGGATGTCGATAAGTGAGTACTTTTATAAATTATAGGCATGTTTTGAAGGTAAGTACACAATGAGAACAAGACCATGTATAATATTGCCGAATAATGTTGCTCTAGATTTTAGAGACCTTTTGAGTCCATTTCTAATGAGCCCTCTGGGTCGAGATGTTCCCTCAGCCAAGGTTTGTATAAGGATTCGACTTTCTCCTGTGCAATAAGGTGCTTTTGTAGACATACAATAAATACATATGTCCACTTAATTAGCTAATATAATTATATGAGTAACTAGGTCACAAATTCATAGAAAATTCTAGAGAACCCCAATAAGTGGTGAATAGGTGGTACACTAGTTAGTACCCCTTGTTTTGCCGGAAATTCCACCATAATCGTTATACCTGTCTGATGTGTTCGTACATCATCATGATATAAAAGACCTAAAAATAAGAGTTATACTGATCGTTTAACTGGATGTGGTGAATTGAACAATAACTCGGAAATTTTGTATTGTAATATGTTTGCTAAGAAGTAAAGGAAATGAAAGAACTCCATTCCAAGTATCTCCAGACCACACGGTTCACTCGATTTCAAATACAAAAAAGGTCATTCCCTTTCAAACGACTAATTGAACATATTTTTGTGTATTATAAACATGTTTGATTGCTGTGCGGCTTAAGTTAACTAAATTTTGAATAGAACTTAGGAATAGTTCTGTTCTAGTTGAGTCATAGACAAATAAGGAAGCCTTAGCCGGGATCTTACAGATTCGTGAGATCATCAAAGATTAGATAATACAACTAGTTTCGAAAACTGGTACAATGATATAGTTTCAAAGTGTCACTTTATAGTCTTAATAATTACATTTGAAAATTCTATACGAATACAACTAAAATGGATCATTATCGAAAATGGAGGTCGTTTATTAATTTGTTCGTAAATAGAATTGTTCGAAATGGTTAGCTATAGCGTGATGTCTTTGTTGTTTGTGTCTGATGACAGTTATATAGTATTAAGTTGAAGTACTCCGAACTTGCTTGCGCGTGACGCGACGCCCATATGTTTGCGCGATGTGTTTTTTTTTGTTCTACACACCACCCTGCGAATTGCTAACTAACGCTGCTGTACACAGTTTTATTATCTCTAAACTGCGATTTCTTGTGTACTAGTCAACTATGTACATAGCTAACTATGTTAGTAGCTATATGCAAGTTCTAAATAAATAGAAGATAGTATATAAGTACTCGAATATTATACTACATACATACATGTCATACATACATAATATCTCTCCTTTTATCCCCGAAGGGGTAGGCAGAAGTACACATTACGGCACTTAATGCCACTGTACAATGTAACACCCACTTTTCACTATTTATGTTATGTGTCCCATGTAATAGGGGGTGCCTATTGCCATATACCGGGCACATTTCCAGACTCTGAGGTTCTTATTAAAACCCAGTAATACTTTGCCCGACCCGGGAATCGAACCCGAGACCCCTTGTCCGGCAGTCGCAGTTACAACCAGTCGGCCAACGAGGCAGTCATATAATACCAATATGTAATACTACTCTCATGGAACACTTATAAAGCAAATGAAATAGTTTGCTGATACTAATATTATCGCTTGCGGTATGCTTTAATTTGCTCCAAGTTACACTGAATTCCATTTTTCGAAAATAGCACACACTAACATGCTAAGCGATTAAAGCAATATTTGTAAACTTGTTTTGCTACCATTTATCACTTCTTTTACAGGTAAAAAGTACTATTGATAATTGTCCCACAGGTTTAATTTAAGTGTAGGTACACAGATTTATAATACGAGTTTGTCATAAAAATATGTAAAAGTTACCGATACTATTTGTACATAATTATAAACAGCTTAAATCATAACATACATAGGTATATAGTACATACAAAATTACATTAGTAGATCTACTCTATCTACTTAGGTTTTGATATGATTTTGTTTAGGACTGACTGAACTGACATCTAAACAAGCAGTGGGTGGCCTAATACAATGAATAATAATTTATACCAGGGGTTCTCAATCTATTGTAACCCGCGGCGCAGTTACAAGTTGAATATTTTTGACGGCGCCCTATCCTAGCTAACTATTTGAGGAAAACAGTCGAAAGAAATAGGTACCTACAATAAAGAAGTTAGGTTAGGTCGATCGTAACAAAAATTAAAGCACCACAATATAAAATTGAGTTTTTTATTATAAAATTATTTAAACGGAAAACAACACACCCTTAAGAAAAGTCAAAAAATTAAATACGATATTTACTCAGTCAATTCAATATGAAGGGTGAGCTTAGTGATTTAGTCCGCACGGTTTTTTTAAGGCGGGAAAAAGACTTCACACTTGTACTCTCATTTCTGTAGTAGTAGTAGTAGTAGTAGTAGAAGTAGAGTAGCTCCACATTGATCAAAAAGTATCCGCCAATATTTGTGGTGTTCAATAATTACAGAATTCACTTACGGCGCCGCTCTTTACTTTCTACGGCGTACTAGGGCGCCGCGGCGCACACTTTGGGAACCCCTGATTTATACTTTTAAATTTGTTTTTTTTTAAACATATGTGTTTGACTGTGAGAGAATGGCATTTGACACCAAGTTCACCTTATGTTTTATTTATCAGAGAATGTGCATTAGAGCTTAATTAAATATAGTAATGCGCCCCGACTCAAGCACGATGGTAAATTATATGACCCTTCCCTTTGGCGAATGTTTTATTAATTATGCATTCTACAGTATTCTACTTATTGCTTGGCACTAGATAATTCAAAGGCGAATTGTATAGCATCTACATCTATTAGAATATCTTATATTATAGAAGCACCTTAACATTTTGATAGTTTATTATTAAATGATCTTTAGTATACATATAAAATTATAATAAGAACTGTGTGGTCGTGATCATAACTTTCATATGGGTCAAATTTTCATATAAAAAAATACATTCAGACATCTAGGAATGATACATTGACTGAATACTGAATGTTATCAGTGTAGCCACAATTAATCAGTTCTCGTTATTCTTCGTTAGGCTATTCATCATTTTATGTTTTTGTTATCATTATTCCTACTATCCAATGAAGGCGAATACAATCGAAATATATTCCAAAGCTAGCATGATGAGAAAATGCAATGATTACCTTAAATACTGTATCATTAACCTAATGACATGTATTGCATTTCGTTTAATGTCTGTCGTTAACTGCTGTTGGCTTAAGTTATTTATGTAGAATTATCTAATTATCAGTAAGGTCACTGTAGTTTTCAACTACTCGTATACTTTATAGCAACATTACGTTTTTAGTTTCATATAAAAATAGTTACTCCGGCGTGGTTTCACCCGCTCTGTTCGGAGTCTATGGATCGTAGCGTGATGTTTTAATAAACACAAAAATAATTATAATATTAGAACTACAGTAACAGTAATTACGGAGATTAGCGCTTTCAAATGAAGTAATATAGGAATATGCGATCTAAGATAATATCTTAGCTAGTTATATAAGCTAAGTATAAACATGGTGAATGGCTTTAAATTCACATGCAGGGGAGGTACTTTGCTATTTATTTTGGTTCCCCACAAAGCTGAAAAAAAGTTTTTGAGAGTGTGGAAACAGTCAAAACTACCTTGAATGATTGCTGATTTAACAACCCTAGGTTTGGGAACCTTCAGAACAAAGCACACTCCATTATACCATAGGCAGCTTATATACCCGAGCGTACGGCGCGTCGCGTACCGCGCGCGGCTCCAAGAGCCATCAGACCACCACAGATGGGGCCCGACACCGCCGATGCCGATTCGGAGTCGCGGACAACCTGAAGGGTAACCGGGGTTCTGGCTCGACTTGCAGTAGAAGGAACGAGGTGGTTTTTAGTCAGTAAGAGTCTGACACTCCCTCCCGCCTCACCCAGGCGGGAGCAGCCAATCGATGATTTTCCCCCCTTAAAAAAAGGCAGCTTATATGGAATTTGGAATTCTTATGATGCTGCCTCCTATGGATATCCATAGGCGGTGTTGATAGCTCCCTATCAACATCAGACAATCCGTCAGCTCGTTTCTTTTTTATGGGATAGCAATCGCAATGCTAAAAAAGTTACAAGTAGGTTGGTTGGCTTTATAGTATTATCACTGGGCCCCCTTTTCAAAATTGTGTAACAGTAATGAAACCCGTACGAAGAAAAGCTCTTGACGTGGTCTTTATTTCATTCTTTGGCAGCTCAATTGAAATCCAGCGCGAAATCGGTGTTTTCGTACTTTTTGAAAGAACCCACGTAAGACATGTTTTTATGCTACGTTACTTTTATACATAAAATACTGTTGATGAAATAATGATAAATGTGGACTTGGTCTTGTGAAATCGAAAGCGAAGCCGAACGTCCACCGTCACCTAAAGTTCAATTATCAGCTTGGGCGGCTTTGGGCGCCTGAGGATTATTTCAGGCGTCCGGTGCGCCTCGTTCCACGCATGTCTTGAAGAGTCACAGGCCACCACAGATGAAGCCGAGTAGTAACGACCACGAACCGCGGACAACTTAACCGGTTACCGGGGCACCGACTCGAAGCTGGAGTAGGAGCTTTTGTCAGTAAGATGTGCGTTCCCTCTCGTTTCACCAAGGTGAAAGCAGTCATTAATGATTTCCTCTTTGAAAAAACTGCTTCTTCGGTAGGCGCGGCCATGGTAAATTTTTCTTACAAAATATGGCGGTCTAGTTAATTTTCTATGGATTGAGACCCGCAAAGTATACTTAAAACAAGGATAGCAAAAACTTTGTTTTACAATGTCATACCCCGGAGGCTGAGCCACCCTTCACTCCTCAAGCATGACGACACCGTCATTCGGAACCTGGCATGACAAATACCAACATGATTTAGAAATCACTGACATCACTGTGAGGAAACTTGAATCTCATGTCAAAGTCAAATAATTTATTCCATTTATTAGATTACTTTAGATGTCAAATAAAATAAAAAATATCAGTCGGTCGTTCAGTCCTCTAACTATTTACTCGTTCCAAATTGTAAAAGAGCGAGCAACAAACAGATGGTCCTACCTAGCAATTACGAAACCTTCTAATGAAACAGCTGTGTCTGGTAAACACCTGCATTAGCTGTAAAGTGAGGACGTTGTAGCGTTTCTAACTACTCCTCAAAGAGGGGATCAGTCAGAAGCGGTGGAACCTTGTTTGCTACATTGTCTCCATAATATCGCACTGGAGCACATCCCGCCACGCATTGATCGGGCGCATTAACGCGCTCACGTGGAAAACACGTGCAACCACTGTCGCCTCCAGATCCAATGACGGTGATCCATCAAGTAGGTTATGCCATCCTGGAGATAAAAATATTATGTTCAAACTAGTAGAGCACCACCTCGAGTCCCAGCTACCAGATCCTCTCAACGTCCGGTTTACACCCTTTATTTTCATTAGGGGAAATTATCAAATAACCCCTCCCGCCCAGAACGCGGTGAGAGGGACTGTCAGACTAGCTAAAAACCACTCCGTTGCAGACGGCATAAGGCATTTGGCTCTAACAAGTTGGGTAGGAGCCGCTTAAGCGCAACCCCCGACCGTTTCAACTTAGGAGCCAAGCGTCTAAGTGGTCCTTCAGTTCCACCGACTGTTGAGGGCGAGTCCTAAGTACATTATCGTCTACTCGACGCCGATGGCAAGCCCTCCCGCCGTTATTTGAGGCCCATCCGGAGGAGCTGTGTTCCCGCGACCATAAAAACCACCTCGACTCCTAGCTGCAGAATATATAACCTCCTGTGAACATTAGCGTATTGTCAATGTAACAGATTGACCGGTTTGCACTCTGTGGATACATGCAACCAAGCTAACGGTGCAGTCGTATTTATGTTTTATAAACCCATCAGGTTTTGCTTTTCCTGTGTAAGATCTCGAAGGACCTGTTCTTGATCAATTCTTATTTATAAGGGATTCCCACAATTTTTTACATCCAGAAATCGATCTCGCGGCTGCCCAGGCTCTGTCTCAACCGTGCAGTCAAACCTGTGGACTATTGTACAACATAGTGTTCTCTAAAATTAATGTCATCATCATCAGTTCATCATCAACCTGAAATCGTCCTATTACTGAGCAAAAGAACTGTAGGCCCCTTCTCACACGGAGAACATTAATCATCACACTTGTTAAAGGTGGTTATTTAAAATTACAAATCCAGGCTCCCTCACGTTTTCCTTCACCGTAAGTAGTATCTTTGCATAAACTTAGAAAGTAGGTACATATGTACGATATAATAACGTTGAAACAGTTGTGTTGGTACTGTTGAAAACTATATCTTTTTACTTATTTGATTAATTCACGCCCGAATACTGAAAGGCTACTCAATTTTAAGTTGTATTTAAATATCGTACCATCTCTGTCATTTTACAAAGAATTTGAATTGACAAAAGTATAATTAGCGCGACTTAAATTGGAGTAGCCTTTCAGTATTTCGACAATAATGTAAATACAATTTTAATGTGCATTTAATATTGAATCTAATGAATGAGTTATCAACAGAAGAAAATAGCATTAAAACGTACTATTTTTATACCCATAAAAGTATACTCGGAATTTTAATTCGATTCCAGATTTGACAATTTCAGTGTTGCAACGTTATGATAAGTACTAAATAGTGACGTACCGAAATTATTCGATATGGAAATGCAATATTTCTGGTTCGATTCTTCTTGTTTATAATTTTACTCCCGTAAACTAAGTATATCAGGAAATTACATATTTCTGAACCGACAATTTAGTTTTGAAGATTAATTAACGATCTGAGACTTTTCTTTTATAATTGTGTGTGATAGAAATAAAAAAATGTAATCATGATGGAACATGACAAATAAAATAGATAGATGTATTATAGTAATAAGTTATTTTATAAATTGTCGCCGTCATCGCTATCGCTATCTTGTCTGACATGAACACTGATTGTTTATCGATTTTTGTGTTCATCACTACACTATTATATGTGATATCATTATTTCACAAAATGACAGTAGCTATTGTCAAATCTGAAATCTAATTAAAATTCTGACTATAGTTATTGTGATAAAATAGAGATATCTCTTTTTTGTTAGCCTTTTAAGGTTAGCCTTATTAGGAGCCTTATTCAGGACATAGCTGCCTTAGAATGAAATAAAGTATACTACATGAGCTGTTATATCTATGACACAAATACACTGTTATACATATGTACTGTTTGTTCGTTTGAACGCCTTAATCTCCAGAACTACTGGTCCAAATCGTTTTTTTTTTAATTTGTTTAATATTTGATATTCCATCATCGAGAAAGGTTTTAGGCCCTACCTCCTTATACTTTTTTGAACGTGTAGTGGCTGCTTCCCGTAACGGGAATGGATCCCAGGCCACTTGTGACGCAGCAGCAGCTACCACTCGAGGCAGTCATTCTCAAGTATCTACAATTGAAACTTGTGTATTGACAAAATTTAGGTCAAGCAAAGATGGATGGATGGACATTGTTTGTACCACATACAGGCCAAACTCCCATAAAGTTGAATTTCCCATTTGTTAGACCTTGCAATGTAAAAGCAAGGAGTCCGTTAATAACCCATATTTTTTCCTTCTTGTCGACAGTTTCTCACCTGGATCTACTCCGGAATCGAACAAGGCATTCCTCGCGCAACTTGGGCAAAACGAGGTGATGAGGCAAGCGTAAGTAGTACTCCGCTCTATTATACATGGTACCAGAGTTTCTACATAGGGTTAGTTGGGGAGCAATTACTCACGCTATATTACACATATTATTTCGATCAGTTAGAGGAAATATGTGGACCAAGTTATCAAGACAAGACCAGTTGAAAATCGGCAATTTTGCAAATCTTGATGTGCTCTTTCTGTTTTCTATTTTGCACCTTTGTAGATCGTAGATCGACTTCTGTGATCTGATGATTAAGCTGAAAGACAGTCTAGGGAACTTCTCGAGAATTTATATCAATAATCTTGTGTTTTATGCTCGAATTATTTGTATAGATGAGAACTTTACACCGAGATAGGGTGTAGTTATTATATTTGGAAGTTAGCATGATAGCTAAGGGAACTCCTTAATGGTAGCTGCCTGATGTTTGGACGTGATTGCTTTGCATTGATGAGAACTTAGCATTCATGTGGGTTTCAAGTAGTATAACAGGTGTATAAAGCCTCGCACTAAACAATGTGTTAAAATAAAAAAAGATAAAACTGCTTTTATTAAACATGGACTTCTAACACTAAAAACAAAAAGTAAAAATTATTGTAATTAGTAATTCAAGCAATACATTGAAGAAATAGCTTCAATTTTATTGTATGCAACAGGCAAAAAACTTGCATCATGTAAATAGCGCTTTACTGATAGGTTACCCATCCACGGACAGTTAAAAGTCGATGCCACAAGCCCACATCAAAATATAACTTAATGGTCATAGGAATAATCTGTAAATGAGAATAAAGACAAGGTATGTTAGGTGCATGATAATTCGAGTTATAACAAGAGTCGATATGAAAGTTTTACATTTTATAGTCAAAGCATTTATTTCAATCAAATCATAATTTGGTACTTGTGAAACGTCAATAAAAACAAAATAAATAATAGTCTGTCAGTCTGTCCGTCAGTAAAGCTAGGTGCTCATTCCAAAATGTAAATTAGAATGGAGAAGAACCAAAAAGAAACTCCATTAGTTACTCTTTTAAAAAACAATATGGTTTACAATCTCTGATACATTATCCAATATTGTACGTATATGTGAGAACAATGCAAAGACACGCTTTATATGCTTTTTTGTAATATTAGAATATAATAATTACAGTTTCTCTACGTCGACACCGGAGGCGAAGTGCGCCCCCGAGGCGAACAACGTGTCCAGCGCCCCCGAGTCGGGCAAGCTTCCTGAATCCGTGGTCCCCAAGACGGAAGCCGATTCTGAAACTGTATGATGTCCAATAAACAGGCATCCTCTCACCTACGACTACGTGGCTCCCGACCGGCTGTACTCTATCTTCACCGAACAATCGTACTGGACCAAAAACCTCATCTTCAAAGTGGGGCGCAAGAAGAGGAAGCGCAACACCGCTAACAGGAACCCAAGTGGGCCCCTCCGGCGCTCAGAGCGCCTCCGTCGCAAACAACTATCTGAGATTTAATTTGTGATTCATGATTGGATACTCTGCTTTTTACTTATTTTTTAGTATTACACACGGTACCTCACGATTTTATGTAGAGTGCTCCTTGATGTTCTTTTGAAAAACATTATTATTTGCGAATGTTTAACAAACGGTTGATGATGATTGGCAATAAATAACAAAACTTAGCTTCTCGTAATTAAATCAAATGGACATCAGGGAACCTTCGAAATTCTCAGACTCTTGTCTTATTAATTATACGCGTTTTTATATGAAACATTCCAATACACAAATTCCAAAGACTGAAACAATATACATTGCATTATTTTATGTAGTATTTCAAAAGCGCAGGATGATTTTATATTATTGAAGTATAGCGCGCGCGGTTAGTTGCAATTTGTCTGTAATCTCATTTATTCGGCAATATGTTAGATTTAAGACTGGAATTGATGCCATTCTTCTTATATTCTCTATAATCTATTATACTCTTAACTTAATAAGTATTACGTAAGGACTTTAGACGATTTTATACTCTGTACTTCTACAATTTTGGAAATTGGATCTACACGTAGCTTAGGTTAGTGTGTATTTATCGCGGTAACTGAACCACATCCTGCGCTTTTATAAAAAACGAGATTATTAACGTGGCTTGTATTCTGTAGTCCAGTCTTTTATTGCGGGGATACGACAAGACATAGTGTATTCCGTGGTACAAGAATGGACCATAGATGATTCTCATAATAAAAAATAGACAAGTACAAGTTATTTTAGACAGCTAGACCGACACAGATTAGAATTTATTTATAGAACAAACAAAGTTGCCATTCCGCGTCGAAGTGTACAAAAGGAAACATTTTCGTTATTGACAACATGATGATCACCTCGGGTGATGTGGTGACCGTATAAAGCATAACCTTACAGTACAAAATACGTTATCGTATATTAATCATCTATGTATGCTTTACTTAGACTTTAAGTTATATTAAGTTTCTAAATTAAGTCCCGTAACGTGAACAATTTATACGTACAACATAGGTTTAACGATGTATACATTTTTTTATATTATACAAGGGTTGTTTAGGTGTATTAAGAATATGAAATTATACCTCAATATTTGAAGCGACTGTTTGTGTAAGATATGTTATCCACTTCGGTTCACCGTTGGAAACAGAAAGTTGGCTCTCGTTCACCAAAACTTATCTCATACTTGTTTATTATTAGTTTATATATTTTGTACATTCCAGGCAAACATTTATAAAGCCCCGGTTGATGAATGTGTGGTTCAGGAACGGGAGCGTCTAACGGCTGGTCCGAGTGTCTGCTCGGTGACAGATTACATTCCAATATAATATGATAAGGTATTAAATTTTCGTCAAATTGTGACCGGAAGATATCGCACGGGTCCGACAATGTGTCTGCAATAATGTGGTTACTCGTGTTAACGTTTGTCTGGTCAGGCTTTAAAGCGCGAATAGCTTTAACGTTTTAAGAATCGTCCCATCGTAATGAAGTCGAAATGTATTGTAGTCATTAGCTCTCTTATTGTAACGAGGTGAACCTTGGATCGGCGCCATCCGGCGGAATGTGTCGGCCGCATTTTTGTATATTTTGTACGAATACGCCTCGATCCGCATCACTTCGAAAGAAAATGTTAAAAACAAGTACGTCCAATAATCGGTGTATTTTTATAAAGGTTTGGGTCTCTAACCATTAAATATAAGGGGTAATGTGACTAACACTTATGATATTGAAAAAAAATCTCTTTACATTCCAGTAGGTATAAGCGTGCATAATCTTAAAAAATAGAAACTTTTCTAACGTTATAATATTATTATATTTATCACATAAGTACGTAGCGTTGTAAGTTTATGAAAGAGATTATTAAGAGGTACGAGTTAAGAACATTCCATAGTAATGATAGCTCTTGTAGATTTTTAGCATTTATATTGATTTATCAAGTGTTTTTACCAAATTATTTTTATACCAATGCTATTTACATTATAGTATATGTCGAGTATATAGAGGTGACTGCAAGGCCTCTGTCGGTTACGTTATGCTCACAATATTTTGATTTATTTGAAGCGAAATGTTTTAAAGGCAGTAGTGACGCCACTTTTACGATAAGTAGCTTCTATTTTCCCGAACAATGCACAATGTGTGAGGCGGCTATTGACAATGTTGAGTAAGACGACACAGTCAGGACTAAGGCAGTTCAGCCGGCAGCTAGAGTGGCCCACTGGGCCACTGCCACAGTGCGTACCAGTGTACGTAGCAGATAATAAAGCCCAATGTTCGCTACTGCCCTCAAAACATAGCCTGTAGAGCCCGCTCATGATTTTAGTACTCGATGAAAGCGCTCAGATTATATTTTTACTCTTTATTCTATGTAATACTCAGTTTACTTTGTTGCCAAATATAATACTGTCATCAGTATAATATCAAGTCAGATGCGAGGTAGCCTCAACGATTTTGTCTTTGTATTACTCAATGCAGTGTTGCAGTAGTGTACGCAATGCTCCGGTAGTCGTGTAACGGCTACAACATGTCAGAGCAGGAGGGAGGAGGCGGCCTCGAATGTAATGGAATCGTATATTACATTCCACAGTAATAGATTAAGAAGCGATTGTCGCACATATATCGACTAATATACTGTTATATTGACGTGTCAGTAGTGTTTCTGTAATCTTTAACATATCTACTCTGTATTCTAAGGTCTTCTACTGTGTGCTCAAATAATCATGATAAAGTACAGATGTATGTGTATCCATGACAGAATTAGCTTTAAGATTACTTTAGTCAATTTTGAATTTCAAATTTAGTTGTTTTGTATTGGCAGGGAAACGATTTTATTGACGCGGGTTTCAACCTTGTGCCACGTACGATAATTCAGATTGCCATTCAGTAAAATTTTCAGCTTTATAAGTTTATTTCATGTGAACATAAAAAATATAATGTAAATGTGTGTAGAAATGGTCTAAAACGGTAACGTGGGCATCGCGTATTTTTTGTGTGTACAAACCATTTTCATTATCGAATAGGGGCAATGTAACGAGTCACTAATGACAAAATAAAATGTTTCCCTGTGAAAACAATATTATAAGGATTGTTCATCACAATATAGTACGTAGTAATTTAGAATTACGTGTGCTGACCTGTCAGGCGACCGTATCGGTGAATTGAGGAAACAAGTTGAGGAAAATAAGTTTGAAATTCAAAATAACTAAAAGTGGAAAGTTGTTCGTTCACAACGATGACTCAGCCATATAACATGTTTTAGGCAACTAATAAATCGTATTAATATCAAACTGTCCGTCTTAACATTTATAATAATATGATATGAATAAGTATTGTACGACGCAAAATAACCAATAGAAGGATATCAGTAGGAATAGATGTAGTTTTCAAGTCTTTAAAGGAACCTGTCACTGTGTAAGACAGGTATTTTGAAATTCCCATTAGTAGTTTTTTATATATCATATATTCTTCTTGATATACTTTGTAGACTTTTTAAACATTATATATCGTATGTGTATATTTTGCATTTAAATATTACGGTATGACAATAAATTGTCCGATAAATATTGGCCAGTATTCTTTGAGACTAGGGTGTAGTAATGACGTGCTTGGGACAAGCAGGCCTGCGTTATAGCAGCAGTTTTACTGTGAAGGCAACTCGCGGTTTGATGTTGACGAAAGTGTGACTTTATGTCGATGTACAGTTGTATTGTAGGTACGCAACAACGAAGCAGTGATAATTGTGTATTCGTCCGGAAGAGATACAATCTCGTTTTGAAGGCTGCTACTGCACGAATTGTGATGGATCCTTGTCTCAGTACATGTGTACCTAATCGAATATTAAACGAAAAAGACTAAATTCCAACAATGCTTTTGTTTCTTTTTTGAGATTGGCTTTGTAACAGTTTTACAGCAACGTATATTATTCAAAATTTTTCGAAAAATATTGATCACATTTGCTCAATATATTTTACAACTTATATAAGTCTTATCGAATTTATAACACTTGTATCGAATTTACGATTGTAATATTTAATCAATTTACATGGTAGCGTGCTGGCTATGGCGAAATATAAATGCTATTATGCATTTACTACGAATCTCGTATATTTATGTAAACATTTGTGACACAATTTTGAACGACAAGTACGTGAAGAAGAAACTTTGATTTTGTGTTACCATGCAAACTATTTGGTCATTGACTTTGTATTCCAATAGTTTGAATAACCCTTATGGCAGACGTATCGAATGTAATTTGTAAAAATCAAAACAAATAATTAACCGAAATTTGGTTCACAATAGCAATGCTACCTCTTTAATATATTTTGTACAACGAAGATGATTTGATTTATATAAATTGTCTTAAGCTCTCTAAGTTGTGATGATATTTATTTATAAGTTTAATTTCAGCTGATGTTTATTGTTTACATTTGTGTTAATGTCGATGTTGTTATGTTTCTGCTACCGCTTGCTTTTACTTTATGTTGAACGGGTGTGATTCAATAATAAAATACGTTGTTGGCAGAAAGTAAATATCGGCATTGATATCAGTACTTGGTTTAGTAACAAGAAAGTGTTGGTTGCCCAAAATCACGTATTTTTTATTTAAATTATTTAATGGAAGAGTGTTAGTTGCCCAAAAACTTGTTGCTTTGTTTAGTAACGATGGTGGCCCCCTCTTGGGTAATCATTAACTTTCTAATGATAATAACTTAAAGGTACTGTTACATATGCTAATTTCAAGCATGGAAACATGCTTCCTTTGAGCAGTTGTCACTTACATTGTGTGACAGAATGTTGCTCAAAATGAGCATGCTCATTTCGGGCATGTTTGTGAATCGACAAGCGTTTGATTTTTGAACACGCTCGATAGAACGCTTTTTATTTTAAGTAAAGTTATTTTAGAGCATTTGTAACAGCACCTTAAGTCGTTATATTTGTTGTTTTTACTTATTTAGGGTTCTGTACCCAAAGAGTAATTAAAATATTTAGGTACACCTTAATATCGCGAAAAGTGATTACATCATCTTGAATTTGGTAG